ACGTGCGCGCTCGTAGGTGGACTTTCGCAACTGCGGTGACGGGTCGACCAGTACTAAACGGTCTAATCTTGACAACAAGCGATTTAGGTTGATGCTCGTGGTATCGCCGAAACCCGGAGAGCGAGTTCTTGTAGTCATCGTAAGGGTTGTGGTGGTGCGCTCCTGGGTGGACGCGATTGAAAGCAGGCAAGAGTAATGAAGAGATGACGTTGGCGGGGTAGGAACTGGTACACGTTGTTTCTTAGGTCAAGGCGTGTGTATACAGCTTGTGTTTCTTCGAGGTTCTTGTTTCGTCACGATAGTGTAGACTGGCAGCGCGTAGTTGGTGAAAGGTGTTGTTCATGTGAATTTACGTGTTCTCTCCGACGTCACTGTCGCGAACACCAATCGTAGCATGGTGGGTCACCCCCACACAAGCCTAAGCTTTTGCTAAGACAACATCACAACATCTAGTACGAGTCTCATGAGAACAAATTGTTCATAATATAATACATCCTCTTGGTATAGTACAAGTCACGTGGCCGTCTAAAAACTGACCAATTCCATCGCTATGCTGTTTTTGCGCAAATGCGGCAACGTATGCTTCATCAAACACCAATCATCGCTGTAACATGCTGAATGGAAAGACTCAAAGAAAAATCAGAGTGCTAATCAAGCTACTTCTGAGAAGGAGTAATCGGGCCACGAGTGAAGCTACAAGCTATTAGCACGGTGTCATGGTTCAAGGGAAAAGAAGCATGACGTACTTGTTCCAGAGAGTTCCAAGGAAACCTGGCTTTCCGTATGCGTCGTGGAATGACTGCCTGCGAGCCATGCTCTCTTCGTCTTGTCGACGCTTGAGGGCCTCTAGGTTGCCAAATCGCTGGGCTGCGGAAGACTGAGAGATGTTAGCAACTGCTGATATAAGGAAATCACGAGTATGAACCCAGGGAGGATGAGCATACCCTACGACGGCCATCGTAATATGAAGAGCCAACTGAAGATTCTGAAGAACGACGGTCGGCCTCCTGCTTGGGTGCTTCAGGCATGGCTGGGGTGGTGTTGTCGCCAAAGACCTTGTGGTTCTGGGAAGAGTACTTCTGCTGGAATGGGGAAGGCATTGTGTGGTGTAGTTGGACTGATTGAAATTTTTGAGAAGGTTGGAGTTGGTTGAATTTGTTGATTGAGGCTGGGGGTATGTTTGAATTGTGATACCATCTTCTCAACGGACAGCAGCAGCTTCATATAGCCGTTGTTCAGCTGAATGTCTTCGAAGGTACGATCGCTCGTGGCCTGACCATTACGCAGACGATATGTGATCGTACCAATCAGACGATGGTGGACTTCCCCCGCATTCCAAACGTGCAGCTTGGACCCTGATTTCTGTAACAATGACATGGAAAGAGCAGTTGCTGAACGCCAACCTGCTTACGAGCTCACTGATGAGAGCAAAGGGTCCTTATCCAGCGAATCAGGTCTTGATGATTCATACGCGTCATGTACGGCTCGGGGCTTCATGGGATGAACCCCCGCTATCATGTCCTCCACAACGTGACTTCGATCCAGGCTGACAGTCGTGGTCTCGAAGATAGTCTGGGAGATTCCAGAACCGGTTGGATTGTCGGCGGACCCTTGGGGGGCTGAGTCACGTGCTAGTACCATTCATAGTATATCGATCGCGCTAGCCTTTGGAAGTAGATCGGTCTTGTCCCGATCACTGCTTGATCCCGGGGTAAACTGGAACCATGACGGCGTGGTGGACGGTGTGTTTGAGAACAAGACCTAAAGCAGCCACGCGCGTTGCCCTGCTTCACATCGAGCTCGACCAGCTCGACCAGACGGCTAACTCCGTTCAGCTGCAGAGCGCTGAAGCTGCCAAACCCTTATCGCCAGGTGGTACCTTGACATCTTGTGCATACTCCGGAGTACCGTATCGACCAGGTCATCGTTGTTTCTTTTTCTGCGAACGCTGTTGATGTCATCAGAGGACGTTGCTCGAACTACTCACCTTGCTTTGTGTTGCGTTCCACGGACCCTGTAAATCGTCCAGTTCACGGTCAACGGGCAGACGCGATCAAATCTCGCCCGGGCAGAGTCACGTGTATGACGTCAATGGCTTACTTGATGGCTGACTAAACACGACGCGTTACCCGATTAGATAAGCGAAGCTGGAAGAAAATGTCTTCCGCTCTTGCACTGCAGAACTTCTCCTCACCTACCAAGGTCACTCGCCTCTCCGATGCAGGCATCCACCAATCTTTTCGCGACACCGATGGCGACCGGCGCATCTTGAGTCAAAGAAACCGAGGTAGAAGCGACACGCGTCCTGAGCCGTGTCTTTAGAGTTTGAGGCTCCCCGCCGTTGGGTATCAGACTGGTTCTTACAGGTGAAGATTGGCAGGTACTGATGCAGATCTCTCGGCCACAGAAGAGCCGGGCCGATGAGAGAAAATCTCCCTCGTATCCAAGCTGTCCGAGTTTTGTCGCACAACACTCTCCTTTTCAATGCAGCCGCACACACATACACTCACACATGGCGCAAACTCAGTGCGTGTCATCGACTGCACTGCCTTGCCTCGACGTCCGCCTTGCCGTCGCCGGCCGAGGACCCTGACAACTGACAGGTCCACGAGGACGCCACCATGTACCTAGGTACCAAAGGTATGTTACATTCGTCCTTTGCCTCCCCCTTTCCTGATGATACCACAATTTTCAAAGCATAGTTCATCTTAGTCTTCGGACAGTGAGGAACGAAATCAGCAATGTCTTTCGCTCCTATCTGACACAAAAAACCCACAATTATTCACGTCTACCTTCTGGTCGAACACTTTCTGACAATGAATAGACTTTGCAGTATTCCCGCATCGCAGTGAGCATGCGCCACCAAGTAGGCCACAACCTGAGGCGCCTGCCAGACACCCGTCACCGGGTAAGCGATGTGTCGCCTGGTAACGTCTCAAGGCTAAATGCTGTGCTTGGTTTCTCCAAGCAGCCGCCGACGATGCCTGTGCCACAGCGCACGCTTGATAAGGCAATCTCAGTGGGATTGTATCACTGTGATGTATGCAGGTGCCGCCATGTCTGTCGTGAAGCCATGTCAGATCCGATTCAGAAGTCCGATTCAGAAGCAGCTCCCATCGCCGCATGTGTGCGCGCGCGCATCTCCTTCTCCTATGAATAAATAAGATTTCAAGGGGACAGTCAGTGCGGAACGTTGCGGGTGAGCCGGCTGAAGGGAGGGAGGGACACCGTTGTCCCATACACCACATTTTATCAATCAAACGCTATTGCTATTGCGCGTTCGCCGGGAGGTGCGCAACGCTCAGCCTCTCCATTTGCATTGTTGCCATGATTTGAGAGGATTATCCCCGGGGTAAAGTTTATTCATGTTGATCGCGGGACTACACGAGAATCACAACGATCTTGTGTACCTCCGGTGCAACAGGCCCTGATTTTGCAGGTTTGGCGGCGTTATCGAGCCGCCATCCGGCCTCGCGGTTGGTGGTTGGCAGCGGCGATCGCTTCCCACTATGCAAGCCCGGCAATCCCCCGGCAACAATTCAGTTTAGATTCCCACAATTCGTACCCATGAGCGACATCGATATTTCGCCGACTCGGAACGCTGTCCTTCCAATGTAAGTCGCGAGACGTGCAGGATAACTGGAGAACCGAGCGCCGTCTCTGTGACGTTAGCGTTTGACACAAATTGATAAGAAAGCCGCCTTCCCAGCCCGACCGCCGAAGGATTTTGGCCCATTGGTTTTTGTACCGCCGAAGCACCGCAACAAGATTTTACTCGTGGGATATGCTTGTGGGGCTGTCTCCTATGCGTTGGCACTCGAACTAAGCCACCAACCGGTCAGCACGCACGCCCTCCCACACATTATTGTCCCGCTCGTTTCCTCCCTCTCTTCTCAACTCAACACCACACACCTACCTACACACGACATCAGCAATCGCCTCTGCAAACCAGCACATTCGAGCGATTTTTCTGGCATAATTTGCTAGCAACGACCATCAAAGACGACACTCTCAAACAAGAGCCCTTGCTCAGGATGACAATTCGGAGCCCAGACGGAGCCCTATCCAGGTACTTACTGCCCAACGGTTTCCCCCCAACTCATGTTCTGCTTTACGCGTTTCTTACCTTTGACTACGACATCCTGTGTTGCTAGACTCATGTATTTCTTTCCTACTGTTTGTTTTTATTTGCCGCCATTACAGCCCGCATGGATGCCCAAAGGATGCCACAGGATACCTTCCACTGGATGTGCCGCCCTGGTACAGGATCTCCACTTGGCCACTTTTCTTCAGTAACCCAATGCCGGATGCTTCCCAGGACAGCCTTGGATTCGAGAGACGTAGCGCACTGCCCTTGCAGTGTTTGTAGACACGACAACCACGAGGCCTCGCTGCCCCGATTTCAAAGCTATCATGCAGAGCTCTTGAATCGGCGGTCAACAGTCACGAGTGGATCCTCGCGCTAGTTACATGCGCTACGACGCACTATCTGGAAGATGACCAACAACAACGGTATGCAACCCTGCACCGCCCCCAGGACAACGTAGGCAACTCTCAGCAATGTCGTTCATTTATGTTATGTTCGACTGCGCTCAGCGACACGCGACTGGTAGTATCAATGTACGCAATCCACACCTATGGAGCCCACAAGGATGAAGCCATCATGGACCTGCCTTCAGCACCTCCAGCCACATGGACTTCTTATGGACCCTGCCACGGTTTCCCACTGGACGCTAACGAGGACCACCATGGTCATGGATTGATTTGGAAACATTTGGAGATACGAAGTACGTACTGTAGGCTGAAGCTTCAGCCTATCCACATCGACCTATTGATCCGAAACTAACTTGACTGCTGTTGAAGGAGCATAAGATGTTCTGGATGATTTGCTCCGCTTTCATCTTTCCTGGCTTCATTGGACGTTACTGGATCTGACTGGATTATACACTGGATCAACAACTTCTCGCCAAAGGACTCGTGGATGTTTCAGCTCACCCGCAATGCCGTCCCTACCGCCCCAGGAACCAGGTCGCTACCTCGCAGACAATCCCAATCTTACTGGCTTCCTAAGGTGCGTGCTAACCCCTGATGCCTCTGCGCTGCTTTGACTGACTCTTCTATAGGCATCCTCGGACATACTAACATGGCGTTTTCCTTTGTACATCTTCACGAACATGTTAGGTTTGCGCGTTTGGATACTAACTTTGGTGTCCAGCGACTCTTTCTTCGACTCACCACCGGAGAGTGCTTTCTACATCTCAAACATCACTGAGTGGAGGAAGGAAATCCCAGCCCCGGTCGTTTCCGCACCGGACTTTCCTTTCTCTTCAGACTTCCAGGACATGCACACAGCAGAATTCTTTGAAATCAAGGATACTGCTTCGGAGTGCAGCATGGACAGCGCATACCAGAGCCAGAGCGGCGCCAGCCGGCGCGGAGCCCAGAAGCCGGAGCTACACCACCAGGATAGCCGGATCAGCAGCCAGTTTGTTGGCAGCGACATCTACTCGCCGACAATGAGCTCGGAGAACTACAGCACATTCCCGGAGACCCTGGACATGAGCCACATGCAACCAGCCACATCCGGATCATGGAATGCCACAGAGGGACCCCTCACATATGCTAATTACTCTACAGCTCAGGACTACACACACTACTCGCCAGCGAACATGCCTCGCTTCGCACCTTCCACCATCGCCGACTCACCACAGTGGGCTACATCCGAGACCACCTTCCAGAACAACCCCTTCACCTTCACATCATGGCCGACAAACGACACCATGTTCAACTCGCCTCAGCGGTGGCACAGCGCCTCCTACGATGCCTCAGAGCGTCCCGCCACCCTACGCAACTCATCGTCATACTCTCTCCAAGAGGAGTCACGGCGAGCTTCAGCACAAGACGCTGGCTTCGGCGCTTTCGTCGGCACCCCGACCAGCACCGCCAGTGTTCACTTCCCTCAGACAGTCAACGTTCTCGAGGACACCAAGCCCGCATCTGTCGCCCACTCAGTGGAAGACAACGAGGACAGCCTCTCCCAGTCTGAGGCAGCTGAGACCAAGCTCGAAGAAGAGCGCACCAAGGTCGCCCGCAGCCACCCTCTCTACCAGCAGACACCAGACAAGGATGGAAAGTACCACTGCCCTGAAGAGGGCAAGGCCGGATGCACCCACAAGCCCACCGCTTTGAAGTGCAACTACGAGTATGTATCATTCTTACACAACCCAACATGCACTGACACCTACAACAGCAAGTACGTTGACTCTCACCTCAAGCCTTTCCGCTGCAACAAGAAGACCTGCGTCGGTGTGCAGTTCTCCTCTACTGCATGCCTCCTCCGTCACGAACGTGAGGCGCACGGTATGCACGGTCACGGCGCGAGGCCGCACCTTTGCCACTTCCGCGACTGTGAGCGCGCTGTGCCAGGTCACGGCTTCCCTCGTCGCTACAACCTCTTCGACCATATGAAGAGAGTGCACCAATACGATGGGCCCACTACTGAGCCATCCCCGCCTGTCCAAGGACAGGCTCCTCGCAAGTCGGCGTCTCGCAAGCGCAAGGCGTCGGCTGAGGAGACTGGTGAGAAGCGCGTCAAGGTTGTCAAGCTCACTGCCGAGCAACAACGCCAGCAGCGACGAGAGGCTCTCACCAAGGAGTTCTTGAGCAAGAAGCAGCACATCATTGATGTTCTGACCAATCTCAGTGCCCCCAACGAGCTCGGCGACGACATCCAGTTGACGAAGGAGGTCGTTGGCCTCCACGACATCTGCACTCAGTACCGAGATGTCTTCGGCGGCTGAATGAAGCACACGTCTGGTAGACTCCGTCTGCAGAGACAACCGCCAGCAGGTTTGTCATCACGAAGCCGGACCCCTACCCTTGTTTTTTCAATGCATACACATCGCGTTTGATTTTCTGCGTTCTCCGAAAGCCGGATGGATTCCCGCATGCCTCGCGGATGAAGGACCATGACTTCCCACAAGTCTCGGATGGATGCCACTTGCCCTGGATGGCCACAAATCTCCGGAGAAAACCCAGGATACAGAGCCAAGGACATGTCCCAGCCGTGGACTCGGATGCCAAAGGATAGCTAGTCAGCTCTTAGAGCGACAGCAACCCCGCTGAGGGGGAGAAGGACTGAGGTCTACTCATTGCACTATGCATGGCATGAGTTGGTTGATGTATCAGATTGATCTAATGTTAACGGAGGAGTGTAATTAGTACAGTTGTATTTCTTTGGCTAGTTGTCAGTACTTGGAAGGATGACCATGGAGAAGAGGTCGGTCTTGTATAGCCATCATTACCCGCCGCGCGGACGTTGGTGGCTGGAGGAGAGATTGTTCTTGCTTTTGTACGTAGTTTTGCTATTTATGTTGTTGTTTTATCAAAATCACTCTTCATGTGCATGTGTGTGTGACCTTTGGTGTCGTTGATGTCAATAGAGGATGCCTGAGCTGCTAACTCGTGGGCGCCCTCCCCGACTCCGGCATACTTCGGCAGCCCCTCATGCTTCCAAATACCTTCTATTCATCTAAAGAAGCCCATCGCGTGAAGTCCCAAATGTAGCAAGCAATCACCGAAGTCGTCAACGGCGCCCCACCGCCAGGTGCATTTTCGTCCGTAGTACGCAGTGGGTGGGACAAGCCGAGGTTGTGTCTGACCTGTCAGGCCCGATGGCCAGAGCCAAAGATCGGGTCTCCATCAGGGTCATATTGCGTAAGCCCAAACCGCCAGTCAAACAGTCGTGCCTGGCTAGACCGAATCTTCGAGTAAGCAAAACACGGTCAACGGAGTTCCGCGTTTGCGTAGGATTATTAGGATTACGATTACGATCACATGCCATGATTCGATTGGGAGGGGCGACAAGCCGCACAGCCCCGCGTATCGCGACGAACTTCAGACCTGTTTTGCGACACGACTTAAAGCTCCGAAGCCTTACCACCACTTTTGCACCTTGCGCTTATACGACTTCTACACGCTCCTATATACCTGTTCTCGAGAAGAAGACTGTCTTCGTAAAGAAAGAAGTACCGGGACGAACAGCACACTACACAACCATGGCCTCCGCAACGAGCTTCTTCGACTTCAAGCCCAAGGACAGTACGTCACACCTCTCTTTCCTCTCCCTCCCGCCCATCTCTCTTCGCAACAGCAACTAACACCCCCACGCAGAAAAGGGCACCCCCTACGACCTCTCCAAGCTCAACGGCAAAGTCGTCCTTGTCGTAAACACAGCCTCGAAATGCGGCTTCACCCCCCAATTCGAGGGCCTCGAGAAGCTGTACAAGGACGTCAAGGCCAAACACCCCAACGACTTTGAAATCATCGGCTTCCCGTGCAATCAGTTCGGAGGCCAGGACCCAGGCTCCAACGACGAGATTCAGGAGTTTTGCCAGTTGAACTATGGTGTTAGCTTCCCCGTGCTGGGAAAGATTGATGTAAGTACTGAACAGCGCTGCACACGACCTCTTGCGCATTCCAGTAACGATGACTGGACGCGATGCTGATTTCTTGTGTCATGATAGGTCAACGGCGCCTCCGCAGACCCCGCCTTCGAATGGCTCAAGAACGAGAAGCCGGGCCTCATGGGCCTTAAGCGTGTCAAGTGGAACTTTGAGAAGTTCTTGGTTGGCAAGGACGGAAAGGTCAAGGGCAGGTGGGCCAGCACGAAGAAGCCTGAGGATCTTAAGGCGGATATCGAGAAGGAGTTGGCTGGTAAATAAATGGGTGTGGGCGTGATGATCGCGCGGCACATACAAGGACGGGGAGGCCTGATGCCGGGGAGGAGGGATATATGATGGAGTATTGATACCACTTGCATTGAATGGAATTGATGGCACTATGAATGGAGTGGCTGCGCGTAATTGTGGCCGGGCAAATAGCACGGTGCTCGGTGATGGCATTCTGCTGACCATAGGAAGGGCTGGAGTATACACCGAGTGTACTTCTTACGTCCTCATCGCAACACGGAAGCAGACGTATCGAGCGCCGCACTATACAAAAAAGACATTGTAAAAGCCATGGAACCCCGCAGTAGTCGCTACGCTGACCGGACTCAACTCTTCCAAAACACACACTTGCAAGCGCATGGGCGACACTTTCTGTTCTCCAGACTTCGCTAGCGGATTTCGCATGCAGGTATAAAACATCGCCAATTGACCTCCTCACTCACTTCCTTCATACCTTTCCACCAATTAATCTTTTACCAAAACAAACATGCAAGGAAACATGTCGGCTCCTTCCTTTGGCGTTCCTTGATCACTGCACCAAAATTCGCGGCTCAAGACGATATGTCTGCGTCTCTGGCGAAGAAACCGTTACCAAAAAAACTGAAGACATGATGCTTATGTGTTACCTCCATTTCGGCTACATATCTACATAGCAGGATCATCAAAATCGCGATTCTGCAATCTTATGAGTCGTGATCCAGCGGACGAGATCTTCCAGAACAAGACATGCTTATTCATGCGAGATCCAAAAGCACACGCGTTGATTTGATGTTCTCGCTGTCGCTCCTCCTTTCGGGTATATCCATCTGCCTAAGAACGTCCGTCGGTCATGTTGGATCGTCAACTGAGGAGCTAATGGTGTATAAATACTGTCTTCCACGCCTTTACTCCTTCCTCTAAAGCACGAATACGTTTTCAAAGATCTATCATCAAAAAAGGCAATCCAAGTACTTCATGGGTGTGAGCACCCTCCGCTCGCGCGAGAGAACACCAAAACATGATACCTATTATCTGCATGATCAGACTGGCGACTCTCCTTCCTACCAAAATAGAGCACATGCCTCTACATGACTTCGGTTGTCTCAAAAATTTGCGGCCACACTCTTTCATGAGTGTTTCCTCGGTTCTGCACTTAGCAAGATCACGCTTTCTACTGAGTTTAAAGATCCGCGTTCTGGATAGCAACGCTATTGCGAAACGACGCAAGCTACTATTCATGGGAGCAAGATCTTCGGCACTTCGCTACTCTCCTATACCAGAAAGAAATCGCAGACGTGTTCATGTGTCTTTGTCTGCATCTCGCTCACTATGAAAGATGTGCGACTTCCCGCACAATTTCCTCTCTTCTCTTCCACAACACTCTTGTGCTTGTATTATCAAAAACAAGATCAAGCATCAGCGATGGAGTTGTCGTTGCGTGTATCTCTCCAAAATTCACCTGTACTTTCGCATGCAACGAGAAAGAAGTCCCGCCCGTACCTTCCAGGATGCCAGTACATTATTGCCGAAACTTCCAAAACAGTACCATGGAAGATGATGTCGTGGGCGTTCTCTGAGTAGAAAGCAAGATGCGGAGTCCTTATGGAGCGGGTACACTGGCAAGCAAAAGCGCATACCTTCAGTATCATGTGTCCACCAAAGACCACCATGACTGCGCGAAAATCAGTCGCCCAAATCAACGCCAGCCTCTGTATTTACCTTCACGTCTTACCCGGTTTCTGTGATGTACCATCATTCCTCTTGGGAGGAAGACTGAAGATGGTAGGCTCGGAACGTATGTGTGGCGGACTTGCCTATCAACAGTCACACTCACCGGGCTGGGGGCGCGGTGGTAACTATGCAGACGCCCGCGATCGACACCTTTCGAAAAGTTACCCGATTAGGAAAGTGTCACCCACCAAAATCAAGAGAGTCACGGTAAATGAAAGCTGTTCTGAAGTACATGAGATGTGATATACGGGAGCCGACCGAGTTGAAAACTAGGAAAGATAGTCCTGTTGTGTTTTTCTCTGCAGTCTGGCACTATAAAAGCATCTATACCAGTTATCTATTCCCTTCCAACCTACAACTATCGCCGATATTTCCAAAAACGAAAACGACGGCAATGATGTGGCGACTGCGCCCTTCCGAGCGCTTTATTTCTCCAAGAAAAAAAGCATCCCACTCACATTCCATGTCTGCCCTGGCGTCCGAGATGGACCGAAACATCAGCAAGAAACCCAGCGATGTGTCTCTGTGACTATAACAAATACGGATCCACCGCCGTGATGTCTTCCTCGCCTACATGAGCGTATAAATACCTGCTTCCCTCCTCCTGTCCTCTTGCTTATCAACTAAACATACCTTGGCTTCCTCGATTCTAAAAAGATGAATCTGACGCCGCATGGTGCGAGTGCCTTTCTGGGACGCCTTGCGAAATGAAAATGTGGACGATGATCTGCGTATGAAGATTGCTGGGAGAACGGGTCCTCAGTTCTCATTGAGACGCCGGAATCGAGCCAGACACCTGCTAAAGGGATACTCCGGTCTGACTCATGTCTCCTTCTTGGCTTACAGGCTACATCAAAAGCCGCATTATTCCGTTGCATGCTTCGTGTGTAGTGACTTCCTGAAACAGGACATAACAGCTTCAAAAGTGCTCCTTCTTTTCCCATGTCTCCTGCGCTCATTCTTTTGGTCAGAGCACCAGAACTGCTACTAAAAGATAGCCTGGACGAAGTCATGGCTTGCCCGGGTCATCTTCTCTATGTGACCTTTTCCCACCTTTTCAAGATACCTCAAAAAGCTCAATCAAACAAATCCTATGCGATCAGTTTTGAGGTGGGCCGCAACATAAATATCTACGCCGGTACGTGACCTTTTCTTCCACATACATTGTTCCTCCCCGCATTTCACCAAAAGAGCACAAAAACCCCAGACATGTGCTCTTCGCTCCTCTCCTTCTTTTCACCAAAACGAACTAGAATCCGCGCCATGACGTGAGATTTCCTCACTCTCAACTTATCACCATACCATCTCTTTTCCAAAATCGCTAAAGCAGTCGGCCATGAGTAGTATTGACTGCGCTCGCG